GGGCCTGTTGTTAGAGATAAGAAATGAATGAACTTGGCTGACTGTAGGACCAAGGCTTCTTTGGTCTAAAGTTCTAGAAAGAAATCAGGAGAGGGAGAGCAGACTATTCCACAGTTCCTGTTCACTTCACTCATTTAAACTCTTAGAACTTCTTCATCTGTGACTCTAACCATGGCCTCTTATTTCTGATACGCAACATCAGAGCAGAACGACCTTAATATTGACACACGACACGTCACCAGGAGTCTGAACTAGTCTTCACCAATTACTGACGACATTCAGGTCCAAATGTAAGAGAATAAACAACGATTTCTGTATTATTTCAGCCTAAACCCTCGTTGATCAACAGAACACATCTGGGTGACACGACTAAATCCATCACAGCTTTTCATCCACCAAGTTTGAGGAGAGGGAGCGTCAATCTCAGATCACCGACCTCGAAACAGTCGAACCAAAGACTGAACACCAAGACTCAGTCCTGGCTCAACTGCATGTGTTCTCCAGTATCAGTGACGTCATGGCAGTGCTGATACAGACCACCTGACTGTCACTGGACCGGCTGAGTGTTGTCTCACAACTGACAGCCCTTACATATCAGAGTTGTACAGCTTTACTACTGTAATCCTCTGTTGACACCTGGTGGTCAGATGTAGGTGTTGTACAATGGACTACTTTTTAAATAAATGACGTAATGGGAAAATAATGTGAAACCTAACTGTAAAACAAACACACAGCCCTCTGTGTTTTAGCCAGTTTTTATTTTCATCTCATTAATATTATGTGTCAATTATTCTTTGTTACGAGCCGTCGCACATAATTCACATTAGAAAAATCCAGCTGCACCCAAAACATGTCACAAGATCACAGAAAACCTGAAAATGTTAAAGGTTAACTCCACCTACTAAACAGACCGTCAGTCATCCTACTGTTCTTCACCTTCTTTCCTGTAAATTAAAGGTTATGAGTTCTGACGGTGGACGTCACTTCTTCTACAAACTTAGGTGAATACAATGGTTTTCTGGCTGTTCCACACGTGACACGTCACTTACAGTTCTGCCCTGCACATAAACAGTAACAGCTGAACACAGACTGTCCAATCAAAAACACAGGGTCAAACACACTGACTCATCCAGGGAGAGAGTCAGTTCAAAGAAGGCCTCATAAAGTCAGGTCAGAACCTAAATGGACAGACCAGGATACAACCAGTCCAAGACAACAGTACCAAACCTGGGGAGACAAAGACAGGCTGTCAGTGAGGAAGTAGAAGGTGGCTGATCTGAGCGTGACAGCTCTCTGTCATGAACTGACTTTCATCCATGTTGTTGTTGTTCAGCTCAGGGTGGAGGAACAGACAGACTGCCAGTCTCCACACCTCTGATATAAAAACTAACAAACATTCAGAGTCTCCACTTCCCCTGAGGAAAAAAAAAAACAACTTCTACAAATGTTAAAAGCAGGAAACACTACACCGAACGGCCAGAGACATGTGACCTTCTCAGCAGGAGGCAGACCACGCTAACCACTGTCACACTATGCAGTTCATTTACGGGAATAATTAAAAAAAATAAAAACGACATAATACTTTGTTTTTTCTACCTTCTCTTAAAACAAATGTCATTATTTTCTGTCAGCACAACAAACACAACAAACACCTGGAAATTTCCACATAACAATGGGAATTTACCGCTGTCAAAGAAAAGTTTAAATTGTCTTCGACGGAGCCAAAACCACTGATGTCCAGGTTCGCAAATAATTTAAAAAAGAGCATATTTACTGTTACATTATCAACGGGAACATTAACTCTTTTTTTCCCATTCTTAACGCATTCGCGTACATGCTAACATGTGAGGTTGATATTTAGCTTCGACAGAAACTCTTCGGCCTGTGTTAGTTCTAATTCTGCTTTTACGATTTAACACGGAACGATTATTCTCAAATTACCGAGTGATGCAGAATATATGTATTTTAATTAAACATTTAAATATTGGTAGTATTTTGAGTTTCGTCTTTTAAACTAATAATAACAATAAAGAAAAATGTTATTTCTATTAATTATCTTTTTTACCGTTAGCGGTCCTACCTTTATTTGTACACACTTCTTTTTTCTTCGTCATTCTCTCGTATAGTTCCCCGTAAATATTTTTCTTTTGTTGTCAACCTTCTGAATTGACACAATAAAAACGTCTTCATAATTTTTTTACAACGGTTTTCGTTTCTTATTTAACGAGTAAATCAGACAAACTGTCCACTGACGTCAGCCCAAATATACATACTTTGACCCGCGGTAACTAAATCCTTCATTTATCGACGAATCACTGCAGCGACAATCACCTGTCGGGCTCATGTCTGCCCCCTTTAGGTGTAATATGGTACTGTCTGTCTCATTTACTCCTTTACTCTTTTTTTCTGCGGGTTCATTTTTAATGAACACATTTAACGATGTAGTCTATAAAATTGTCAAAAAATATATAATGTAAATACACATATATATTAATTTAAATATGTGGGCATTATTAACAGACTATAAGAAAGTTATTGTCACGCTCCCCCCCTCCCCTTCTCCCCTTTTCTCCTCCTTTTTTTTCGGTCGATACGAGTCAGTCATAGCAACCGTGACGTCATATGTCAACTGGTCGTTTCCTGCTGGCACAAACTGTGGTGAGAGACGATCTGAAAGTGAAATGAGAATCTTCGACCAGAGGATGTGCTGCTGTGCAAATCACTGTTGATACCGCGGGAGTCAAGTTCCTCCGGACTTTTCTGTCAACATGGCTCCTGTATATAAGTCACTGAGCAGAGGCAGAGCTGACAACACCTGCCGTGGACACGGACGACAAGGTGAGCTTCATTTACTACTACTACTGTTGTTGTTGTTGTTGTTATGCTGCTATATATATTAAAATGGTTATTTTTGTTTCTATATTATCACGTTCTTTTCCTGTTTCAATTTTTTTTCTATCATTCATCAGACTCTGATTTTTAATTACCCAGAAGTGGCCTTCGCCTAATGATGGCATGATGACATTTAGAAGCGTACAATACTTTCCTGAGCCCAGCCCTCTGAAGTACCAACGTACATGTCATAGTCATTACCAAGTATTTACATAACCTGGAAAAAAATCCCCAAAGATGAAGTTGATCTCTTTTACATTTTCCCCAGGTAGAAACGTAGAGGTTTAAAATACAGTCAGTCTGGTCTGGTATTGTTAGCACAGCTTCAAGTAAAGTCCAAAAAAATCAAGTATTTATTATTGTATATATATATATATATATATATATGTATATGTATATTTATGTTTGTATATTTGTATATATGTATGTATATATACATATATACATACATAAATGTGTATATGTGTGTGCATATATATGTTTCTATATAAACATATATGATTGACTTGTTTTTTTAAAGATATTTTTAAAATGTGATAAGATCTTTTGTGAGATTTTTATGCTCTTAAAGTTACTGTACAACATTGTTGTTTAACAGAAAATGATCTCTCCCTCTCTCTGTCTCCCTCTGTCTCCCTCTGTCTCTCTCTGTCTGTCTCTCTCTTTCTTTCTCTGTCTCTCTCTCTCTCTCTTTCTCTCTGTCTCTCTCTCTCTCTCTGTCTCCCCCTCTCTCTCTCTGTCTCTCCCTCTCTCTCTCTCTCTCTCCCTCTCTCTCTCTGTCTCCCCCTCTCTCTCTCTGTCTCTCTCTGTGTGCCTCTCTCTGTCTCTCTCTGTCTGTCTCTCTCTCTCTGTCTCTCTCTCTCAGATGACGACACTCACACTCAGTATCCTGTTGACTACGTTTCTGCGACTCTGCTCCCAGAATCCCACTCACTCCTGGACTCTGCTTCCAAACAGTACGTTTGACTTGTACGAGCGTTGACTCGAGGTTCCACTGCGGCTGCTGTAGCACCTCTTACATGTGTGGTACGTTTGTCCTAGTCCTGGTTCTGGAGGTGAACAGCTCCTCAGGGACACATCCGCTGAGCTGCCTGCAGGAGGCGCCTGGAGGAGACCACCAGAGTCAGGAGATTATTTGGAGGAAGGACGGGGAAGAGGAGGAGCAGAGGGGGAACGTGTACCTGGTGCAGCTGAAGAAAAGTTTAGGAGGGGGCAACTACAGCTGCCACAGCAGGGAGGGGTCGCTCCTCAACTACACCCTGGTCCTGATCCAGGAGAAAGGAATCATGGGAAGGATCCTGGTGAGAAACGACCAAGGTAAGAATCCAACTGAAAGGAAAAGAAAACGTTAGAACGATTCTTGTTAGTAGATCATGAAGCTTCACATGTTTGTCGTGTGTGTGTGTGTGTGTGTGTGTGTGTGTGTGTCATCAGAGGACTATATTAAATGTTCAGCCCAGAACTACAACGGACACTTCCACTGCTCCTGGTCCTGGCATCCGAATCGCGTCAGCAGAGTAGCTTTCATCAAAGCCTGGCGGTGAGTTCACACCTGTCTGTACTGTCTGTACTGTCTGTACTGTCTGTACTGTCTGTACTGTCTGTACTTCACTGCCTTTGGTACAGTCACATCAGTCAGATTTAGGACACAGCTGCTCAGTGACATCACAAGATGAAAAAAAAGTCCAAACAAACAAGAAAAGACAACTTGATGGTTTTTGAATTGAACTGCAGTGAAGTTGTTAGCGTCGTGCCGTCATATCAGTATATCACAATATATGGTATCGTTGTCTCTGTATCGTGATACGTATCCTATCGCCAAATACACAGCCCTACACAGTATAGAGTCTTTTCCTGGCCATGGGAGGGCGCTCCAGTTCATGGTTCGTACAGAGGAAAGTTTCACGTCAAGGTTCTAAAATAAAATAATAATTTTCTTCTTTTCTTCTGCAGCGTTTCTAACGACGGTCAGTGTTCTGTGGACAAGGGTGTCCAGCGCTGGACCTGCCCCTCAGGTTCAACCACATTCGTCTGCACGGTGGAACAGAGTGGGGACAGGATCTCCTGTGTGGACCAGGGTCACTGTCCCTACTCCGAGGAGACCCAGAGAATCTCTGTCAGTGTGTACGTGGTGACGCAGCACTTCCTGCTGGAGAACTACTCCAAACGGTTCCACCTGTTTGACATCGGTACGTGGAACCTGGGGTTTTTTTCTAAGACATGTTACTCCCCCCCCCCATCACAACCTCTGACGTGTTGTTGGTGTCAACAGTGAAACCTGACAAGGTGAGCGTCAGTCAGGTCAACAGCACCATGATCCAGTGGAGTTACCCCCCCTCCTGGAGCAGCCCCTCCTCCTACTTCCCCCTACGTTTCCAGGTGGCCCAGCTGCGGCGAGGCTGCAGCGGGTGTGACGACCCGTGTGCCGACTTCAGACCTGCAAAAGTGAGAGGAACCGGTCCGCTGTGACGGGACTGTTACAAAGAACTGATGAAGTTCAACCTGTTTAAACACATGTTCATGTTTTCAGACCAGGAGGGTCCAGACCACAGAGACCTGTCACCTTAAAGTCTGGAACAAGGCCAAGACCGTCTGTGTCCGAGCCACCGACGCTCTGTGTAACTCACAGTGGAGTGAGTGGAGCCACGTCAGGTGAGCGCCCTCCAGTGGAGCCTGAGCGGATTGGTCAGAGAGACTCAGCAACACCAATCAACAGAGGAATGAATTTCTGGAACTGTGACATAAATAAAAAAATAAATCAAATATTACATAGATTTGACCTGCGATCAAATCTTCATGAAATACTTCACTCTGGTTGTTGATGTTCAAAGACATGAATACATGTGACCTCCACTTACCTTCTGCTCTTCTGTTTGTTTGTTTGTTTGTTTGTTTGTTTACGTCAGACTGAGGAGACACAAAAAGAACAAGAAGGTCAAACATCACCCCAGCAGACAGGCTGAATAACTGGACGAGTATCCACTCCTTTATTTTAGTACATTACTAATGCATCTTACCACAATGGATAGATTTATATTTTGCAACTATTTAAAAAATAAAAAATAAAAGTTCTCCTCAAAACACGAACATTGTTTCTGCATATTATTTTTTTAATTTCTAATGTTTTTAATTTTTTGTTAAATTCTCCCTGGCAGCAGGTTTAGAACACCTTATGATCACACCTGGTCATGTGTCACCTAGTCATGTGGTCTGTGTGGAAAAATAAATAAATAAAATTTAAAAAAAGACGTCAAAGGGTGTTTTTGTGTCGACACCAAGTGCTGATGTCGTCAGGCGTCTCTGACTTCAGGGCTTTTCCCTTCATCAGGTGAGTGTGGTTTTTTACACTGATTCTACTGTGTACTCTACTGAGTACACAGTAGAGTACACAGTAGAGTACACAGTACTCCACCTCCACGGCTGCTCTTGCCCCACTGTGGCAGATGAGCTGCTGTGGTCACAGTCACACTTTGGGGCATTTTAGAAAATAACCCCAGCCAGAGCTGGAGACACCGGTCCAGAGTGAAATGTGGGAGGAAAGTGGAGGGACGCCCCCCCACCCCCGGGGAGAAAAGGAGCATCAAACACCTGACTTTTGATGAAATGAAACAGACAAACCAACGGGACACTTTGTACTAGTCACAAGGTTAGTGGATCACACCCTCCG